CATAAAAATCTGAACTAAATCTTCCTCGTGGGATCGATCCCTTGCTTGCTCTATACTATCTTGTGTGATTTAAGTGTAAGGGTAATTAATTTGTGCGACCGCGACATTGCAACAATTAGCATTATTTGAATAAGATAACTAATGTAATCATGTAACAATTAATCCGATTGGAACCTCCTTTGTGCGTGGTTTCCAGTTGAGTAATAAAAAGAGTTTATACTATACTTGTTTGAAATACCATTAGTGAATCCTTTAACATTGATATTTGTTTTTATCATTATTTAATCCTCACATTAATCTTACATCTCAATGTCTTCTTTAACTTATTATTGTTGTTGTTGTTGTTGTTGTTACTATTACTACTACTACCACCATCACCACCATCACCACTACTAATATTATTTATAATTTATATAGTTAATCTCCTTATGGTTTGACTCCGGTCTTGCTGGGTTATTTATTACTTCGACATTCCTATACTTGAGAGAAGGAATTAATCTTTTGGTCGTGTCATTATGCAAAAAGATGTCAATAATGTCAATAGTTTGGTCCAACCTAGCATATACTTTTTAATGAACATAATGTAATGGCCAAACCATGACAATTTAGCTGTTGGGTGATGTAAATCATTGGCAAGATTACCTTTCACTTTTTATACTTTATTTTTCTTTATTGCATTACTTACTATGTTTCTTATTGTTTTTCTTAGCGTAATTCTTAATTTTCTTAGGTTTTTTCTTATCAAACCATTTTTGTAGACTTTTTCTACTTTGTTTTTCCTTCTTTATTCCATTATTTACTATTTGTTTTTATTGTTTTCCTTATCCTAATTATTAGCTTTCTTAGGTTTTTCTTACCAAACCACCCATCTAGGTTATTAAGTTTTTTTCTTTATATATATATAAAGACTAACTATTTCTATTGATTTAAACCTTTTGATTTAATTAGATTTCTTAGAACTTTGATTTTTTATTTAATCTCTCTTGATACCTTTACTATTCGTTACTTTGATTATATATTTATGGAACTTGCATTTATTTGATTGTGAGGTAATTTTCATTTATTCTCAAGTTAACTTATAAATATTTATTTTAAGTGCTATAAAAAATAAAATTTTAGAAAAATCACTTTTAACATCCTATATTTTGGTTATTGTTTTTACTTTGCAACCAAGTTTTTGAATATTACACTTTGAAACCTAAGATTTGAAGGTGGATAACTCTTTATAACTTTAGGAGTTAGGGCCACAAAAAGAGTTAAGAAAATTTGTATTTATTTACAAAAATACAATCATTTTCAAATTATTTAAAAAATTGCTTATTTTCAATCCCTATCGCATTTGTTATAACCATTAGAAATCAAAGGATGAGGTAGACAATAAGTGAGAAAAGGAAACATATAAAGACATGAAGTAAAATCTAGAAGGGTCCTAAACCCTTATAAGTGGTGTTTGAACTTCCAGCTATAAGGATCTTAACTTTAATATAAGAGCACAACTCTTCCCTTCATGAAGACTGCATGTTTGGTGGATTGAGTAATCACTATAGTTTTCTAGAATGGTGAACATATGAGCTGATGCTTTATTTTCTAAACCTTTATGGCTTATTCATGACTCTAATATTAGTTTCATTGAAAAAGGTTTCTCCAACTTAAGAACTATGAGGTTGGAAAAACTAAGATTGTAAAAGATGGCAACCTGCTTGTCCAAATTAAATGGATGTAAATAGGAAACCAAAAGATGTTCAAGAATTTATAAATGAAAAAAAAAGGAGAAAAAAAAAGGACACAATTTGTGTTCTTTTAAAGAAACAAAATTGACATGATAAATAATCTAAAAAAAATTAATACTTATGCTAGTGAAATAATAAAATTGATTAATTATAAATTATAGAATAACATGGGTTTTTTTTAAATGGATTATGTGTATGGATTATGGGTTTTAGTCAATCAACAATGGACTTATCATACATTGTTTATTAATAAACATAAAATATACATATGTTTATATTCCTTTTACACTATGCTTTTTAATGTGTTTTAAGCTTATCTGAACTTATTGGAAGTTATTTTTATGAGTTTGACTTGCTTAGAAGACTTTATGAATTAATTGCTAAAAGATAAGAATTTCTGCATTTTATGTTTCGACCCTTGCTTCTTGTGACATGTTTTTCAGTGAGATATAATTTTTGAATGTGAATGTGAGTTGAATTAAAATTAAAGTGCACATATCAAGCTTTACATAAAGGTATTGTGGGCATAAATATAAAGGACAAATAAAGTTGTTTTAAAGGCGCAAATCCGAACGCAATCTGTAGGACGAGATTGGTCTTTTTATCTGATGAGAAAACTAATGGTATCGAGCATCCCACTACAAGTGAGAGTCTGACATAGAAATGGTAGGTCTTAGGACTCAAGAAAGGTCCAGATTAAGCATTTAACATGCCATAAATGAAATAATAGAGCCGGGATGGTCGGATATTGCATGAAATCAAGTCGAAAATAAAGTCTAAGTTGTAGCCCAATTGGAATTACAACAAAGTTGTGATGATAGTAAAGTTCATTTTCAACACAAATTTTGATGGATTTAACTAGTCTTAAGGACCATACAAAGAAGGAAGGATTTAAGTAGTATTAAGACCTCTAATTAACCTAAAAGTTCTGAAGAAATTCTGCAGCTAAGGAAAAGAATAAATAGAGTGGAACACAATTGAAATAGGGACTCTGTAACATTCTTTTCTTCTCTGCTTTTGTCAATTTATGAACTAATTTTTAATTTTGGTTAAAAAAAAATACACACCATCTCCACTAGAAAGTTGTGAGAAGTAACATTATCATTGTAATTCTTTCATATTCAAGTATTTATTTTTTCTTGTTTAAAATTATGCTATTTAATGTTATTTAAGCTTATTAAATTCTTTTGAGATGACATGTATGATTTCTAGTTTTTTTCAATCCGTAATTGTTGTTAGGGACTAGAGTAAGAACCCAAAGAATTAATCTGATTGTTGCAACTCTTATCTTGATTTGTTAAGAAAGAATAAACCAAGTTAATTTTTCAAGCTTCTGAATGTTTGCTTAAAATAAATACACAAATTTTACTTCTAAAACTACTACTGAGTGAATGAGAATTACTTTCAATAATAAATTTGCTTGATGATAAGAAATTGATTGGAGAGTTTTGTCTAATTAATTTACTTGTATTCTCATCGATTTCCTCTCAGCTTAAGGGATATTGAATGTCTTTACTTGACATGAAAGAATATTTATTTTACTTTGATAATCAATAAATTCATAGGAATAAATGAGTGGACTTTAACAAAATATCAATGTATTATTTTTATAAGAATTATTGTTTTTTTTTTAAATTTTTTATTCAAATCCCCCTTTCTTTTTTATTTTAGTATTTATAGGAAGATTAAATAAAATTTATTTTGGATTCGATCTGATTTTGATGATTATATTATAAATTTATTTTACTTATAATAATTAAATTAGAATTATATTTTGTAGATTAAAAAAAAACAAAACATTTATGTTTTTTTGGTGGTATGTATTGTGAGTACGCATAATACCAGAAGACAGTAGACGCAGGCTTCCTTAATCTGCTACACCGATAAATTCTTTTTAGCCAGTCTCACAACCAGTAAATTGACATTATTATTATTCAATAATATCATACATTACAATTAACAAGAAAGAAATTACTAAATCTTGTCGACTACAATCTCAACCCCATCAACTGGCATTTGATGTGAAAGATAAATCATGTCAGCATCAGGATTAAGTAGTTCCCACCTGAAATTTCATCACAATAATATTAGAGAGAGGGTGTTCATGTTATGGCAAGGTGAGAAGAATAAATGTCATTAAGGTACGTTTGCATCATCGTGCATAACAGAACTAAGAACATAACAACAATACAGTTAATTGTTTCTACAAACAATATTCATTACGTTTATCAAAGCATGTGACTAGGGAAAAAAGATTTGGATGCTTACTTGTATCCTATACACAAATGATGTAAAAATAGTGCCAGTTGTAGGCGAGCAAGCATGTTTCCTGGACAGATTCTAGATCCATTACCAAAAACTTGATAAGTTCCTGGCCTCGCCGGTTCCTATGTAAGAAAATTGTTGTAATGATAAGCCAGCCATAATATTCATGAGCTTCCTCGCGCAACCGATATGGTTTGCAATTTTGAAACTTACATTCCATCTGTCTGGGTTGAAGCACATAGGATCCTCAAAATTTTCAGGGTTTGTATGGAAGTATCGAGCCCAGACAATCACTTTCCAATTCTTCGGTATCTTATAACCTACATACGTGTATATATATAGCCATTGATATTTATCATCTATTCGATCAATTCAACTATCCTCCAGTACTTACCAGGAGAAAAAGAGACCAAAATGCTAATGATCAGAGGTACCTTTATACTCAACTTCTCTGGTGGCCATTCTAAAAATAAGCACTGCAATGTTGGCCATTCTAATGGTTTCCTTCACCACCTGCTTGAAGAATATACAGCAGGAAATTGGATTAGTAAAATGATAGTTATAAACAGTTACAGACAGGGAACGGTGTACCAAACCTAGCTACTTAATGTATCCATACCTTGTTTGTGTACTTGAGTTTAGCAACATCTTCACTTGTAATGAAATCTCCTTTTTTGTTCTTGCATAGAGCAGTGTTCTCCTCCTATATAAAAAGAAAGTGTCAAACGAAGAAAACAGCAATTTCGTTGGCGAAAATCTAGCTATTTCTTGTACAAGTCATACCCGTAGCTTTGCAAGGACATTAGGATACTTGGCAAGATAGTAAATAGCCCACGTTGAAGCAACGGACGTAGACTCATACCCAGCAATAACAAGGCCAACAATGTTGTCTAGCACCTCTTGATCACTTAATTGACTTCCTTCATCGTCTTCAATTTGCATCAGTCCATCCATTAGATCATTTGTCTTCTCAGACTCGTGTTGCCTTTTCTTCTTCTCAAGTTCCCCTCTGAATATTGCGTCAAGCTTCTTCTTGCACTGTCAAAGTTAACACCATAGATAGATATATGATAGATTATATTATAATATTTCATAATTTATCCTCCTTATGACAAATCTAAGCCTTCACAGATATTTGGAGAGTGAGTCACATAAGCAGGAAATTGACCTCTTAAACAGATAAGACCTCTTAAAGAGAACTAGTTTAAACCTGCAGAGCATGGCGATGGGCAGTTCCAGGAATGTTCAATGGGTAAGCTCTAACTCCACGGAGCAACCCCTATACAACCCTCCTTATACTGCTGTCCCGGTTGCAAGCCTACAAATAATTTCCCAATGTTCTCGAAGGTTACCTGTTAATTAATTATTACAATTAAGGGCATAAAATCAATCTATATTTCAAGGATATTTGGCTTAATTTGCAATAAATAGGCTACTCCCTTGTAAACCAATATATATATATATATATATATAACTATAACAACTAATTAAGGACGCAACTAGAATCATTATAAATATAATTTTCCAATAACCTATGATGAGTCGGATATTAGAATTAGCTACTTGGGATATACATATAATTTTCCAAATAATATCATGAAATATCTTTTGAGTACTAAAGAAACATAAAAAACTAAAAGAAACCACTATATGTGATTAAAAAGATAACATGAGTGGTAAATCCAATGTCAATTTTGACGGATGAAAATCATAAAAGTAAACTTGTGGGACATAAAACTTAACAGAACTTTTTAGTTTTTTCTTCCTATAAAAAGGGATCTTACCTTTTTAATCTCCATGTAAGTATTGATTCTACGCTTATCGACCCATGATTGGAGGGCAGCCACCATCCCAGGCTGTACGAGAACAGCAATGCGGCAAAGAGCATCTGGCCGAGTGATAGCATTAGTTACGTGGTTTCTAAGTCTTTTATGGGCCTCTCCCTGAACTACTACCAAAGAGTTCTGGCCTAAAATATCTACGCTGGGCCACTTCAAAATAAAAATGTCATTTGATTGGAAAATGAATTTACTCACTGCTGGGAAACATGCTATAATCGACGGTGATCCAAAAAGGTGGGTTCTGTACAAGCCTACTCCGTCGCCGTACCTGATCATTTTACAATCATGTTAAGGAGGCCATGCATGGAGGCTGCTTTGGTAGTGCCAACCGACAGTGGAGTAGACATTGGATACTGATTATATATTTCAATACATATGAATATTAGAAAACTAAATCAGTAATACGTTATTCTTAAGACTCCATTATCCTTCCTAAACAGTAACACTAAAAAAAATAGTTTTATATGTTAAAATGAATGGTGCAAAGCTCTTATGCTTCAAGAAAAAAAAAAAGAAGCCGCAGAATGACATCATGATCTTACCAGCGTCTCTTAGAATTGATGAAATCATATGGGCGGCCAAGAATTTTGAAGTACCAAAGGAAGGTAAGCATCTCGCCAACAAAGGGAAATCCCAGGTGGCCAGGTGGTAACTTCGTAGCCGTACCGGAAAGTTGAAATTTCAGAGGGAGAACGTCCCATATCTCGTTCCACCACCACGTTAGTAAACCCAACAACGGCAGGGATCCAATAACGCAGGCTAATAATACACCTATTGTAATTTCCATTTTAAAACATGCAGCAGCTATATATCTTCTTGAATAAGTATTGTTAGGACATTCTGGCATTCAAACACACATCAATTTATGTGGTTCGACAACTTGCCTACTCTACGGAGCTTCTAGTTTGTATTAATCAAGCTCAAAAGCAATACAAACAACAAAAACAAGGAGGAGGAGAAAAACTTCTCAAATCAACTCAACTCTCTCTCAAAGCTCTCTATGTGTTTCTCTCTATTTTCATGGTGATCAGCTATCAATGGCACTCTCTATTTATAGCTGATGTGGGAGACAATCTCCTTCCTTTGATCAACAATGGTGGACAATATTTTCTTTGGTTAGGCACTCACCATTCTTACCATGTCAAATATGGCTGCCACCAACCATGGCTGCCACCGTTAATTTGTGTCCACACATAACAAGTATGACCTAACTCTAATACCCTATTTATACCCTTAATTACACCTATTTTTGGGATGGAAAGATTCCTTGAGGATGATTATGTGGTAATCAATCCCACTTCCAGACAAAACAGCAAAACTATCGTGAGTGAAGAGGCAGCAAGCGTGATCTAGATGAGTTCAATTGGTGTATGTTTTTCTACTATTTTATTTATTTCACTCTCCGGGTTGTTTCAACCTATATTTTAAAATTACGAACCACGTTCCTAGGGGTCGAGTCATCGATCGTGCAGACAAAACAGAGCTTTTCTACTAACTGCTTTTGGTGCTACGGATCATATTGAAGAAAAAAAAAGTATTGATGAGAAAAAAATCCAACTAGTTTTAGTGTAATGTTTATATTTTGAATAATTAATTAATTTTTTAATTTTATCAAATTTAATTTATTTTTTTAGTCAAAGTGGTTAATACTTAGATCTCAATTTATAAATTTAAAGACTTCCAGGTGTTTAAATAGATATTTTTTTATAGAAATAAAATGTAATGATATTCTAGAGAAATGAACTTTGAAAATATACTAAAAATATTGAGAATGAAAAAATTGTCAGTGCAATGATATTTTAGAGAAATAGACTCCAAAAATACACAAAAAATTTAAAAATAAAGAGATTATCCACCTAGAGTTTGAAGAATTCATAGGGAACATTTATGTCTTTAATTTATAGGATTAAGATTATTAATTTAAAAGTTCCTTACCAATGAAATTGGTGTATGTTTTTCTATTATTTTATTTATTTATTTATTTCGCTCTACAAGTTGTTTCTACCTATATTTTAAAATACCAAACCACAATGAGCAATTTCACGCTACTGTTGTTTTGCCAGGGGTTAAGTCATTGTGCATGGAAAGCATAACTTTTCTATTGACTGCTTTTGGTGCTACAGATTCTATTGGAAAAAAAGCATTGGTGAGGTAAAAAAAAAACAATTCAAGTAGTTTGGGATTATTATATAATGTATACTATATAGAAAATATTATGGTTATACTCTTATAGTGTAATCTCCACCATTACTATTGTATGTTATCCTACATACATGTATGGAAAATGTTGGCCAACCAATAGGTTGGCTTCCCAATTATTCTCAACTTGGTATTAGAGCCTTCTATCGTCTGAACTTTTATCTCCCTCTCCCTCTACAGTCGGCCTTCTCTCTCTCTCTCTCCTAAATGAAATCTATTGCTGCCGCCAACTTCTCCCCCACCACCAGTGTTACAGCCCAGTCGGTCAACCATTCAGCAGCTATTATTGATGGTTCTTTCTCCCACCAATAGCATCTCCAACTTGTAAAGTAGAACCATGGTTTCTTCTCTCATGTTTCTCTTTTCACATCACGGGGATAACAACTCCTTCTATAGTTGTGTTGTTCAATACTCATCAAGTGGTCTCTTTAAAGCTTACAAGCACCCTGTTCCCCACTCTTATTTGTCACCATACCACCATTACACAACCCTACCCTTATGTCACCATTTACATGTTTTTTCTGATGATCATTATGCAAGCTCATGTTCTTTTTTAGAATTGCATTTTTCCAAGTCTATTACTACCGCCAGTACAGATGTTACGACAGGCTCTCCTTCATCTACTGTTATGAACACAAGTCCTTTGGCAAATCCCTCTACAAGTCTATAACTTTTTGTTGATCTCTTCTCTTATCCACTTTAGCAGCTTCCCAGTTCAGATTCTTCTCCCTTTCAGTCTACTACCTGTCAGCATCTGATGGTTCTTTGCTCATAATTGTCGAAAATTGCACTTCTCACAGCGTCTGCAACCTTCTTAACTGCATTTATCTCTCGACTAATGTCCTATCCTAACTCTAAGCCCATTGCCTTCTATGATGCTAACAGGTATGAGACATAGCATGGTGTTATGCTTAATGAAATTCAGGCTTTATGCTCCAATAACACCTGGTCATTGGTTCCCTTTCATCCTTCGATGAATGTTATTGATAGTCAGTGGGTGTATAAGATAAAATGTTGTATGGATGATAGTATTGAGTGATATAAGACATTCTTGGTGACACGACTAAAAGATTGATGCCTTCTCCTAAGTGCAGGAGTGTCGAAGTAATAAATAACCCGGCAAGACCAGGGTCGAACCATAGGAAGGTTAATTGTACAAATTATAAATAACAATACAACAACAACAACAACAA